CTCTGTCTCTGACATCTGCCCCAATATCTCAGCAAAGTTTACACTCTGTGGTTTACATTTCACTTCACAACTCTTTAGGAGCATGGGGATGCATGTGGCAAACATACAGAAAATCAAAGGTTTTGCATAGAGGTCTAGATATCTTGCTTTTGGTCAATAAATTTGCATCTGTCTTGCTGCCTCAGTTTTCTCACCAGACTGAGACAGCTCCGTGGAATAGCGTCACAATATTTTGGGGATGTACAGAAGCATCCCTCAGCAGTTCATGACTTCTTGTAAGAACCAGGAAATTCTTTGACCTCACAGTACTTTGTCTGACTTGACTATTCTCATAAAAACTCTGAGTCCCTTTTGAAACAAAAATTGTTGACCTTCTCCTGTTCTCTTTTCCCACCAAAAGCTTCTCCTTTCTCAGTGACATTCTGTGGTTTACATGTCTTTTCAATAATACCTGGATTCTTTGTTCTGCTAGGTTTTATTTTACTGCTCCATGAATACATGAAGAGGTATTTCACTGCTTGTCACCTTAGCATTTTGATATAACTATTGCCAAGCTGGAGCATTGTTAAGACTGACAATTGTCTGGTTTAGACCTGGGAAGAGTATGTTCATCATCTCACCTGAAAACAGGTGGATTTCATACATATATGCAGTCATCCAATTAGCACTGCAATCTTATTGCTAGTAACATTTCAGTTGCAATTAGAACTCTAAATTTCTGACTATATAGGTTCACCACCTCGCCACAGAAAGTCCTGTACATGAGCTGAGACTCATGTAATCATCTTGCCCTACTGCTTGAAAAACAGGTGTGTATAAGGAATGCACTTAAACCCACTCTTCAAATTTCTACTGCGTATGCTTTGGTTTATTTCCTTATGTAATGTGGTTTGTAACACAGACTTTGCATGAAAGACATTTCACTTCTCACTTGGAAAAGCCCATTAAGGAAAGAGGGTTGTGAGTAAACAAACCTCAGCTGCAGAAAAAAGGCAGTAAACATAACCAAAAGTAGATACATCTGAACTCTATTAATGTTTCTTTCAAGTCAGCTTTTAACGATGTTTGCACAGTGCACTTACTTGTGTCAGCTACTTTTTACCATATGGCTGCATACTGAAGTTGAGTGAAATATTGCAGGGTACTGGCTATAAAATAGTATTTCGGAGACACTTGACAACATGCTGAGGAAAAATAGGATATCTTGTCAAACCAGATTTTTGAGTGTTTGATCAATGACAAAAGCAGTCATTGATCTGGGGCTATACTTTCAGGCTGCACTTTCATCATTGTATAATGAAAGTCAGATAATTACAAAGGATATGGAAGCTAATTGAACAACAAATTTACCATCAATGGTCACTTTGGGTTAGAAGGGACTTCTGGAGGTCACTTAGCTGACCCCCAGCCCCACAGAAAGAAAAGCCAACTCTGAAGTCAGATCTGTTCCAGTAATGATTATTCTTTACCGTATAGAGGTGGTTTGTAAAACCTTTCTCCTTTGCTATTTTGTGAAGTAGGAAGGTACTGGTTTTGGTGGCAAGCAGCATGTTTCTGTCAGGTGAAAGAAGAAATTCTGTAAACAATTTCTTAAGAAAGACATAGGGTTTTGTTCATTGACAATCTAAACCTCCTTGTAAGACTTACGTTTGAACTGGCAATTAGAAATCCCTCTTCCACTGCAGTCTTTTCCAAAAGATATTAACATTCTTGATGTTAACTGTTGCTTTCAGCCATGTCTGTGCTAATGGAAATCAAGTAAATGGAGTGGGTTTAGGCTGTTGCTGGTATTAAAGTGAACATGGTATGGAACAGAGCTAATCTTATTCTCTTGTGTGCTCCTAATCATAGAGTAAGCTGCGACTCACAGATACTAAAAATGTCGCTGTGGTAGAAAAGCCCAGATGAACCCCCTGCAAGCCCTTAAAGTCTATGGTAAATAGCAGAGATGAGGAATGAGCAGGAGGACTAATCACACTATTTGCCAGTCACTCCTGGGCTAAAATGGCAAACATCTCGCTCACAGTAAAGCAGGCCAGAGGATTGCAAAAGTAGTGTCCCTTAGCAAGTCAAGAAGAATTCAGTACTTAAAAACTGCTTATTTTTAGATGTGCTTGTGAAAAATTATCATCTTTAAAATTCAGTGAACTATGTTTTTGATGACTATAAACCAGCAGGTAGATTGTTTGCTCATCTTTTCATACAAACATTCCACCAACTTTAACTGAATCCATACCTTTACACAGTACACTAACATGCTATTGCTTATGACATTCTCCTAGTTGGGACAAATGTAAGGAGATGAAAAGAGGGTGTACATATCAGGAAGCTTCCTATGCAAGGTGTCCACTATGCCACTCTAAAATGCCAGTTGAGAGTGTAAGTTTGTTTTAAAGTCGATCCCAACAAACTAATCTTTATATTACAGCTAGAAATACCGATTATTTTATGGTCTAATAATATCAGCTCTTGACTCTGTAAACGTCAAAACTATCAAAAAAACCCCACCCAATCGCACACCCTTCAAACATTTTGCAGGCAGTGTATCTGTATCTGAAAACTCTTACTTCAGCTGTTTCAAGATAACAGCGTGTAAACAGCAGCTGAAGCAGAAAGAACAGAGACTCATCGTATCACACATGTATCATATGCTCAATGGTTTACAGTAAAAAACAACTCATGCAAGAATTCATAGACACATGCAGACTGGTCAAGCTGCTGACAAGTTAACTTTCACATACTAAGATGTGACAATCATCCTGATTTATTTTTATTGTAGTTCTTAAGTATCCAGTGAAAGCTGGTAAAAACAGAGACTTATAAACCAAGATACATTTGTGGGTATTCTTATGGTTATTACTGTAAATAGTACTATTGCTCCTTTCATAAGTAACGGGGTGGATGGGACATAGGATTGTTGAGCAAAGCTGAGCTGCCTCTGCCTAAAGATGCCAGGTGAAACCTTTCAGTGTGCAGGCTATTAAGAGGGAAAGCAGGCATTTGCTATGCCTGCATTTTACAGGCATTTGCTATGCCTGTAAAATGGGTAGGAGGTGCTGCCCACACCTGTTCTTCCCTGCATGTGCCAAGCCAGCATTTACTCAGCAGCATAACATAATGGCAGGATGACTTCCATTTCACTGAGGAACAATGGTAATCACCGTAATCTAATTCCCAAGGCTGTGATGTACTATATGTTCATCCACGTAAATTCAGTTTGAATTATGTCCATTTTATGAGGAAAAAAGAAATGGAAAAATGCAAAATGAAGTCCTTCCAGGAACACAGTGGGTTAGATTTTTCACCGTGGCTGATTGAAGGGCCTCATAGTTCCCAGCGGAGTACAAATCTGGCATGGGGAGAAAATTGCTTGACCTTATGCACTGACCCTTAAGTATTGCTAGATGGTGCAAGCCAGGGCAGTCCCCAAGCTGCTGTTGCATCTGAAGCTAAGCTATGCTTCAATAAGCTGCCTCATATTCTCTGACATATACCTGATTTGCCATGTCAACAAGGACATAGCAAGCCTCATGTGGATCTGTCTCAGCTGAATCCAATGGCTATAAATGAGTATTTAAAGGTAGAATACATAGATATTAAAAGTAGAGGTGATGACAGAGAGAGATTCATTTTTTTCTTCCACAAATAAAATCAACAGCAGCTCTGTTATTTAAAATCAGCTATCCTGGTGAAACAGGAGAGGGTGTGAATGCTGTTCTTCTGGCCTCATAGCAGCACTATAGATCTACTTCGTGTTGGGGTAAATACCTGCAACGTGACACTGGAGAAGCAGCTCCCATGTAATCCAGAGCAAGTGCTATGAGGAAAACCTTAACATTACTGATACAATTTTTTTTTTTTTTGTGAAACAGATAGCACTCTTCCAAGATCAAGATAATGACAAAACTAGTTTCCATGTGAACACCTTTCTTCAGCCTTGTTACGTCTGTCTGAGGAGAAAACGCAGCTCACCAGAGCCAGTGCTCTTTGAAAATAACATGACAAATCCTACACAGTGCCCTTGCTTCCCCATCTGATAACTATCCAAGGTGCAGAATTATTTCCTATCGGTTGTTTTTCAAAACTGACACTGTAGAAGCTGTGCCCAGCACACGGCATATTTGAGGTCGAGTGAGGCATTTTTAGG